CACCCTCCTTTTGGCACCACAGGTTGGAGAGACGTGAGTCCTCTGTGGTCGCCGGCATAATAAATGACCCTGCAATCTGGCATACTTTTGTCTTGATAACTTTCTACACTCGGTCCAATACAACAGTACCAGGCTTCTTCCCCCCAAATTTAAAAGTAACTAGAATTTCTAAACTAACTAGAATCTCCGGAATGCATGCGTGTCAAAACTCATTATGCACCTCTTGCCATCTGCTCCATGCCCCAATCATCCCCTGCCCCTGCCATCCAGATACGCTATCACCCTCACATACTTGCACAGAAGTTACACATGCGACACTAGTACAGAGTCCTCAGAAAATTCCCCCACATATTTTGCCTCTCCACAAGGTGGTAAATGGAGATTTGGGAACAATTCCAGTTCATGTCCCTTTTTCAATGTCTGATCTTTGGCAAATTCAATCCAAGTTGGGTTTAGTCAGGATCCCTCTAAGTTCATTCTAGAATGTTGGGCTTTATTGCCTTTGATTCAACCTGGCAAAACACATTTGTAGGTATTATTTGCTGTTCCCAAGAAGAAAAATAACGCATATGGTCTTTAGCTCAAGCTTGGGCGGACAAAGCTCAGCTGACAACCCTAATAATAGACGTGGGGCAGAAGCTGTCCATGATGCAGAACCCAATTGGCAATACCAGGCTGCCAATGCCAGCCCAAACAGAGATGGGCAGACAAGATTATATGATAACTGGTTAGAAGGAAAAAGACTGTAATAAAACCTGTTAATTTTTCTAAATTATGAGAGATCACTCAGGAGCCAAGAACCCTGCCCTTTTGTCCAAGCTACACTGATGGAGACCATACATAAATATACAAATTTAGACTCTGAAAGCCCTGAGGCCCAATCCTTTCTGGCCATATATTTTATAAGTCAGGCTTCCCCAGACGTCAGACAAAAACTCCATAAATGAGAGCAAGGCCCATAAACTCCCTTTCATACTTTATTAAAAGCAGCCGTTAAGGTTTTCAATAACCAGGAGGAAACATCAAAAAGGAAAAAAAAAGTCTCAATTAGAGGAGGAAAAATGCTGTCACCAAGCTAATTACAGTGAGACAGCTAATGCTCATTCTTTTTTGTTAGCCAATAACCCCAAGGCTCATCCCCATAACACTAACAGAACAGGGAGGCCTGTCATTACTGCAGGAATCAAGGACACTGAAGTTGAGAATGTCCCAAACCTCCAGGTTACAAGCCATCCCTGGGACCCTGTCCTCACTGCAAACAGGACCCATCCTCACTGCAGATTGGAAGTGTCCTTCCCTCCCTCGTTAAGGCAGGCCACTTCTTCCTTCAAGGCTGTGACAGCCACAGCCTCACCAACCTACCTGACAAGGGGTCCTGCAGAATGAGGGTGAGGGCAAGGGCAAGGGCAAGCACCTCTAACTCTATTCCTGGATTATGATCAAGTCTCTGAAATGTCAGTCATCCATGCTCTAGATGACTGATGGGGTCTTGAAGCCATCCAGGCCCCTGTATTTTCCATCGCTATGGATGAGCACAGGGTAAATCTGATTGTGGCTGAATATGAGTAAGAGGTAATATTATTCATAGATACAAGGACCAGTTATTCAGCTTTAAACATTTACTATGGCCCAATATGCCAGTCCTCCATTTTCCTCATGGGCATTGATGGAAAACCCCAGTGAGGCTGTTTCACACAGCTACTTCCTTGTAAAATGAAAGGCTATTCTTTTACTCCTTTTTAGCCAAGCTGCCCTGTTCCATTTTTAGGTTGTGACTTACAAAATTACAGGCTAATTTACAGCTAAGGCCCCACCATCTAGCTGTATTACACTTCACCAAAAGAGTTCCTGCAGCTTCTTCCAGATAGTAATTTACTTCAGTATGTGGATGACTTACTAATCTGTAGTCCTAACAAGGCTGTTCCAGACCAAAATACAGTATTAGTACTAAACAAACTTGCTAACTGTGGGTACAAAGTATCTCCTTCTAAAGCACAAATATCCACACAAAGCGTTCAATTTTGGGGTCTATTTTAATCCCCATTGAAAAAACCTTTGTAGTGCTTGTAAAGATCTTAAACACTACAACTGTGGCAACTAAACAGCTTCAATCATTTTTGGATAAGGCTGGGTTTTGCAGAATATGGATTCCTTCCTTTGGGTTCATAGGAAAACCTGTATATGAAGCCTTCAAGGGAACTGAGGAATAGCTTGTATTCTGGACTAATAATATGAGGCACGCTCTAAACACTTTAAAACAGGCTTTAATCTCGGCCCTGACCTCAGCCCTACCAGATCTGACTAAGCCTTCCTTTTTGTATGTACACAAACAAAAGGGAGTAACTGGGAGTCTTTGCCCAAGATTAAGGGGCCCTCTAAGGGCCAAGTGCCCTATAGCATATTTTTAAAAAGACTTTAGACCTAGTATCCCAGGGATGGCTTAAGAGCCTTAGCAGCAGTGGCCTCTTAGTCCAAGAAGTCTTAAAAATGTATTACCTGCACCTCCTGTATTTAAACCCTTTTCAAGCTTTGGCCCTATCCCACCTTGATAATTCTCTTCATTATGATGATTGTACTCTGGGTACAATAGCTACGGCCCAAATCACTGTCTTAAACATAACTTCCAATCTAGAATCTCATTCTAGAAGAAAAAGGGCCCTAGGACTTACTGTTGGAGTAGTGGGAATCATTACAACTCTTGCTCCTTGGGGAAACTGTACTTATCTTGAAATTACACTATGGGAACTTACTGCCTCCCTCGAAATAGCTTAGCAAAAACTAGGACAAGTTTATCAGCACTAGAAAAGTATTTAGACTCACTAGCAGGAAAGGTTTTTTGATAATAGAAGAGCTGTAGATTACCTCCTAGCTGAAAAGGAGTCTGTCATTAACAAAATTTTTGTGCTGTCATTAACAAAATCTTGTTGCACCTACATTAATGTGTCTGAAGAAGTGGAAACTGATGTCCAAGAAATTTTCAAACAAACCACATGGCTACATACACTTTCTCAAAGTAACCCAAACTAGGACAAAAATCACCTGGCTTCTCCCATTCCTTGGACCTTTATTCCTCATCATTCTTATTCTAATATTTGGTCCCTGGCTCTTTAATGCTGTGATTAAGCTTCTATTTTCCAGAATACAATGATTCACCTGCAGATGATTATGTAATCCCAATACCAGCCTGCAACAGCAACTTCCACTTATATGGAGTCTCTTAATAGAATCCAGTGTATCCCTGTCCAATAAGTTTTTCATGATCTTCATGACAGCAAGAAAGGGAAAAACGCAACTTATCCCCTCAATGCTCCCTTTCAGCAGGAAGTAGCCAGACAGACTTGATACCCCTCTTCACTGTGCCGATTTCCCTTTCCTGAAACCTGAATAGGCAGCAGGTACACAGGAGCATGGGGGGATAGAAAAGGTAAAAGATGTGACCAAGATATCTGTCAGAGGGAAAATGAGGACAGTGAAGATCACCTGGTGGCCATCAAGCAGACTATCTGCAGGCAAAATTTCTTACCTGAGGAATTTAGAAGTAATTAGACTTCCTCATTATCAAAAGCTGGCATCTGGTACCAGGCTTTCCCCCAAATTTGTAAGTAACTAGAGTTTCTATACATCTCCAAATGCATGCATGTCAAAACTCATTGTGAAACCCTTGCTAACATCAAGGCACCAAAATATCTACAAATATAATCATTTATCATTACCTACATGGCTAATATGGTCCAAATTACCCTTAAGCTCCTGTTTTAAGGGCTACAAATACTCCTAAGAAAAAATCCACTGAGGCGAGCTCAGTCCTCTCTTGCTGAAGCACCCTGCTGCATCTTTCTATCTAATGAAACTTCCTTTTCAAACCTATACTGTCAGTAAATTCTTCTTACTTCCTTTTCAAACCTATACTATTGTCAGTAAATTCTTCTTACTTCCTTTTCAAACCTATGCTGTTGTCAGTAAATTCTTCTTGCTACCCGAGGGCCTACACTTTTTGTTGCCGGGGCTCTGACACCTCACCCAACAATTAACGCTCCTTTCCCTTTTCTATCATTTGGCACTGCTGATAGGCTTACTGTTCCAGCAGTAAGCCTCTTATCATTAGAAACCAGTCTAGTCACTTGTGATCCATTCCATCCAATCCCATTTTTTCCTAAAAGCTGAATTTATCATCCCTTCCCTCCTGCATCTTCATCCTAATACATCTTTGCCACTAGCATCTCAGCAGTCACTTATTTCTCTAATTCCTTTCTTAGGGTTTCAGTTATCATTTGTAGAAATGACTAATTACAAATTGCCCACTTTCTGTTCTCCCCTTGCTTTCAAAGGTGCCTCAAAATGATCTCTAAACCTAATTCATTTCCTAGGTGCTCCACTGAATTAATGGCAGGTTATAGTCACCCGGCTCCTTCATACTAAAGAGCTGGGTATCTTTCTGGATGTCTCTTGCCTCACTTCCCCATATCCCATTTGTGATAATATTCATTCCACATTTCATCCATAGTAATCAGGCATTTTGGCAAGAGCTAGGATTTAACTTTCCTAGTATTGTGATGTTGCAGACTTATTTCAATGATGCTGCTATTTACCATATTTTGAGAACTCTTTTAAGAAATACTTTTGGTCCAGCCAGGCATGGTAGTCCATGCCTATAATCCCAGCACTTTGGGAGGCCAAGGTGCGCAGATCGCTTGAGTCCAGGAGTTCAAGACCAGCCTGGGTAACATAGCAAAACCCCATCTCAAAAAAACAAAAACCAAAAAACAAAAAAACCCAAAACCCACAAAAATTAGCCGGGCATGGTGGCGCATACCTGTAGTCTCAGCTACATGGGAAGCTGAGATGCAAGAATCACTTGAGCCCAGGAGGTTGAGTCGGCAGTGAACGGTGATCATGCCACAGCACTCCAACCTGGGCACAGAGTAAGACATTTTCTCAAGGAAAAAAAAAAAAAAGAAAGAAATACTTTCAGTCCGCTTAGTCACAACTTGTTACCTTATTCATACTTTTTTCTCTAAACAATTTAAATTATGGTTTAAAGTATCAAGTTAAAGATGAAGACTACCACCTTGGAGAATTTGCTACAGATTCTGAATATGACTTCTAAAGAGGAGTTTTGACTTCCTAAATTGGTTTGAAAGGAATAATCTTTAATTAATTAAGTTCTGGGTATATTTGTTTAAAATAATTGCTTTTAGTCGTATCTACTGTAATGTACATAAATTTTCAAAACTCATCTAGTATTCTAAGATACACTAAAGGAAAACCATTTTGAGGGTAATTTAAATTTTTCTGGTATAATTCAGAAAGCATTCTGAATTTTAGTGTTCATTTTCACTATTATTCTCTATTACATATGTAGTATAGCTTCAGAGGCTGGACTGAGAATATCTAAACCTATTTTACACCTCTAAATGTTTTTCTGAAAATTTCAGTTACTTGCTTGCATATTTTCCCAGTTATGTTTCCCACTTATTAAATGCTGCACAGTATTCAGTTTTGGATTTCAGAATAAATAGGGATTTATCATGCTTAGTTTCTCTGAAAGTCAAAAAGTAACCTGAAAATCACTTTTCAGTGTGAATAAAATCACTGAAAATTAAATATCAATAACAATTTTTAGTGCTTTAAAACTATTTGTAAGTCAATAAAGTAAAAAAGCTGAATGTAGTGAAACTGTCTTTATTTTTATTGCCTTTTATTTTCAACAATGATTACTTGAACTTAAAAAAAAAAAAGAGCAGACTAATAAATTAACTAATGATTACTGAAAAGCCAAACCTTTCCAGCCCACTTCATATTCTCATTTAACCATTTCAGGGCAGAACAATGTTCCAAACTATAAACTTGTTCCTTATTAACATTGACAGTCATGTGTTTGATGAAAAGCTTTGGATCTGATATACGAGCAGCCATAATTAACCTTTCCACTGCGGCTTGATAATCATCATTCCTCCGAGACTGGTTGTTTTCACACCTATAAAATGAATACCTCATAAAGTCAGAAACTCTTTAAACAGATATGCTATATAGTTTCTTCAAAAGATAGTCATTTACATTTATTGGTACTAAGCTATGATAGTCTTTTCACTATATTCTTCTAAAAGTGGCTTTCAAACTTTTTGATCATGACCCACAGTAAGAAAGGCATTTTGCCCAGGGGTGGTGGTATAATCCCAGTGCTTGGAGGCTCAGGTTGGGGGAACTGCTTGAGGTCAGGAGTTCAAGACCAGCCTGAGCAACATAGTGACACATTCATCTCTACAAAAAATTTAAAAACTAGCTGGGTATGATGATGTGGCCTGTAGTCTCAGCTGCTCAGGAGGTTGAGGTGGGCAGATGGCTTGAGCCCTGGAAGTTAAGGCTGCAGCTAGCTCTGATTGCACCACTGCACTCCAGCCTGAGTGACAGAGCAAGACTCTTAAAAAAAAGACATATTATGACCCAGTATATACCTTCATACATAAGCAATAAAACAAGACTTACCCTGATGACAAAAACCTTGATTTAAAAAATAATGCTGGTTGTAACACCCTAAATTGATCTCACCACACAAATAGTCTGCAACCCAGTTTGAAAAATACTGATCGAGAACACAGCTAATTACCTATATCTTTGTATTCTGAAAGTTAATAACTGCATAATTATTCACAAATACTAAATAAAACACTAAATGTAATCCAGTTTAGAATTAACATTCACATGTTAGTTTTAGTTTGACACTGACTAATTTTAGTTATAAGCAAATACTTAATATGTGTAGCTAACGTTTGGTAATAAATTGTATAGCTATAGGGCCTTTATTAAATTTCTGGTTATTTTCTTCAATCCTGATTTAAAGTGCTTTCTTAAGTGCTAGAATTAATTTTTCTAACAATTATTCTACCAGCTGTATCTGCAATCAATTGTGACTGCACTGACTTGCATAAAATTCACACCTTATGTTGGTTTTTCTTCCAGGGCAGGGAGTGGGAACTGTTTAAAATAGAGATATGGCTGTTACATTAAGCATCACTTTTTTCTTTGTGTTCACTGCTTCTTACTTTTGGTACCTATGTGGTCCAGAGTGACAGGAGTAAGGACTTGCCCTTGAAACAGGAACCAGTGGTTACAGGGAGGAAAGACTGGTCAGGTGGCTTCTAGTACATTCTAGCTTAGAAAGAGGAACCCAGGAATCTGGTAGGTGGTACAGATGCCAACCATGTGCAGTTTTAAAAGTCTAAAGATGAATAACATTCTCATAGAGGTAAATGTAACAAGGCAGGGCTCAGCATGATTATAACAATAGAGAAAATATATTGGCTTGGACAAAATCAAAGATTCATTAGGCATGTCACTAGTTATGCACTACAGTTACAAATACCTTCCAAATTCAAAAAATAAATAAAGAAGTTATATGCGTGTGGGGAATAGAAAGCTATGAGGAAAAACATGACCTAATTAGGATGATGAGGAGCTTAGATGCCTTAGCCACCATAGTGCACGGTGGTAAATAAGGAAGCCCTTGGGGGGTGGGGGGAAGACATCTATAAGAAAAAAGGAAAATTTTAGTTTTTTGGTTTTTTTTTAAGGTAGAACAAAAATAATTTAATTCCTAATTCTTCCCCCTTAAGTGTGGGTTGGACCAAAAGACTCACCTACACCAAACAAAGGAGAGCAGAAGTGACAGGATGTAACTTTGGATACTAGGTTGTTGGATGACAACTCTCCATAGGTCTTTGAGTTTGTAAAGTTTTGCAAGAGTCACTGCCTACCCTTTGTTCTAAATTACAAGGATTACACAGTGAACAGCCTTGAAAGATAAAGATAGTTTCTTCTTCTGGAGCAAAGGGCAGGTATGCTCACAGTCTTAGAAGATGGAGATAGTAACTCCCTGCAAAGCAAAGGGCAGGCATGCTTATTACTCATAAAAGATTTGGGTCTCCTAAGCTGGGCACTCCTCTCCTGTTACAGAACTCATGGCATATGTAGGTATCCATGTTGGCCCATCTATGGGACGTAGGAGCAAGAGGAAAGGATGCAAATATGTAGATAATCATGCTGTTTGCTGTACTGCAAGTAATAAAATCCTCTGTTTCCAACACAGGAGTCTTATGTCTTATGCTACCATCTATGAAACTATGGCAGGTTAGCTTGTAGCTTGCAATTAGGGTAAAATCTCAAACTTTTTGCAGTTTTTGCTTGATATAGGTCACAAAAGACCTTGTAGCTTCCTCCTTGCTTTTTCTTTCTTGGATCACTCATTCTGGGAGAAATTCGCTGTCAGTAATGTCACTTAACACTTAACCAACCTATGCAGAGGCCCATGTGGTGAACTGAGGCTTCCACCCAACAAGTAGGGAAGGATTCTCTAGCTCCAGCAAGCTATCACGTAGGTGACTGAAGTTTCTGACAACATCCTGACTCCAACTGTGTGGAAAAACTCTGAGTCATATGAAAATCCCTGAGCCAGTACCATCTAGCTAAACCTCTCTGAAATTTCTGACCGACAGATACTATTTGCTGTTTTAAGCCATTGGGGCCAGGGATAATTTATTCCACAGCAATAGATAACTAATGTAATTTTCTTTTTTTTTTTTTGAGATGGAGTTTCACTCATGTTACCCAGGCTGGAGTGCAATGGCGCGATCTCGGCTCACCGCAACCTCCGCCTCCTGGGTTCAGGCAATTCTCCTGCCTCAGCCTCCTGAGTAGCTGGGATTACAGGCACACACCACCATGCCCAGCTAATTTTTTGTATTTTTAGTAGAGACGGGGTTTCACCATGTTGACCAGGATGGTCTCGATCTCTTGACCTCGTGATCCACCCGCCTCGGCCTCCCAAAGTGCTGGGATTACAGGCTTGAGCCACCGCGCCCGGCCAACTAATGTAATTTTCAACTAGAGGATCTGGTTTGTCACACCAGTAAACTGAAGCAAAATTCTTGTCAAAAATCTCTAAAACAGGATTCCCAGGAGATCTTTATATTGCAAGTTTCTTGGATAAAGTTGACAAGAAATCATATGGCATACTACCATTTAGGCACACCATCTACTGTATGCCTCTAAATTCTAGGACTCCAAACAAAATTATGTGAAAGGGTGTCACTCTAGTACAGTACCTACTTTATAATATTTATGCATATATAGCATTATAAAATGTAGAAATTAGGCTGATGGCTTTATTTTCAATGGTATTCGTAACTGAATCTAATAAATGATCACATATTTCCCTTTTAGGTCCTAGTTCTTTGATCTTTTGAGTTGACCAGAGAGAAAGATTTTTTGTAGGTACTGATCTCTAAACACAAGAAAGGTTGGTACCTAAAAAGGATCCATCTCTTTGAACATCTTTGAATATTTCTATCTTTGAAGTTGCTAAAGTGTTTACCGAATGCTACTAACTTGTTCGGTTTTAAGCCTCAAACAGGTCTAATCCTTTCTGAATTTAAATAACAGAGTTTGCAATACACACACACACACACACACACACAAAGTACATATATAAATATACACATAAATAAATATATATGTGTATATAAAAATACATAAAACATTTGCATCCTAGGGTGGGTGTGGCTCGGGAGCCATGATCTACATTCAGAATGCAGTTAAAGTTATGTCAACCAACCTTTTCAAAACTATCTGTAGTATCTGTGTAGAAGTTCCAGGACTCTGAATACTACTAGCATTAGATACCATGAAGATTTCAATCGCTAAAAGCATTTCAATCTCAGATAAATAAGATGGAATTAGAAGAAGTTTTCGGTATAAATTTCCTTCCAGTTGTGGGTAGCAACCCAAGGAAAGAGCACCTGAAAAATCAAATAATAGGTCAAACTTTACTAAAACCCAATGGGAAAAAACTACATTTCTGAAATACCTACAGGTGATAATTACTTACACAGAATAAATCTTCACATTAGAAGTAGATTAACAAATTACATGATAGTGAGAGCTTATACTCGTATATCTGACATTATTCTTTGTAAAGTGCTTTTGAAACATTAAATAAAAAGTGAGAAGGGCTGGGTGTGGTGACTCATGCCTGTAATCCTAGTACTTTGGGAGGCTGAGGTGGGCATATCACAAGGTCAAGAGATCGAGACCATCCTGGCCAACATGGTGAAACCCCATCTCTACCAAAAATACAAAAATTAGCTGGGCGTGCTGGTGTGTGCCTGTAGCCCCAGCTACTTGGGAGGCTGAGGCAGGAGAATTGCTTGATCCTGGGAGATGGAGGCTGCAGTGAGCGGAGACCGCACCATTGCACTCCAACCTGGGCAACAAGAGCGAAACTCTGTTTCAGAAAAAAAAAAAAATGTTTTGTTAGGATAAGTTTCTTGAATAAATCTTTCTAATGTGGGTAATGGCTAATGTTTGAATACCTGCTATGATATGCCAGGTACATGTGCTAAACACAGGTTTTACCCCATTATAACCTGACAATCTGCTACCTTTGAAATTAGGTACAATTACTCCCATGTTATAGATGAGGGGCTTTGGCAAGCACTCATGTTCTCCAAGCCTTCATGGGGTGCCCACTTTCTGGCTCCAGATGTTGGATTTCTAACCACTAGGTATTCCTACCTCCCTAGGTCGCTGCCAGGAGCAACAAACTGTTAACTCATTGATTTTATTAGTTTTTGGTAAGTATAATTTACATACATTCTTATTTAAATTTTCTTACCTGAATTTAAAAATAGAAAATAACAAATTAAGTAGAAATATACTAATACAATTTTTTTCACTCAAAATGAAATGTGAAAAGAAAAATACATTTGATTTTGGGGATGGGAAGTAATGGAAAGACACACTAATAACATCTCTCTCCTGATTTCTCAGTTCTGAGAGAAAAGCAGTATTTTTAGGACAAGGGAGAACAAATCAGGAACATGGGGAAGGCAACTTTGCTGTCGCTGGACAATCTCCTCCTGATTAGTCTGGCATGAAAGCAAGGCAAAGCCATCAAGAAATTAACAGACAACTCACAGGATGGACAAAAAATTTGTAATTCATATATCTGAAAAGGAATTTGTATCCAGAGTGTATATAAATGCATGTGTACATATGTATGTATGTATGAATACAGTCTTACAACCAAAAGAACCCAATCAAAAAAGGGCAAAGGATTTCACAGACATTCTTAAAAGAAAATATATGAATGACCAATAACTGTATGAAAAGGTCCTCAACATCATTAGTCGTTAAGGATATGAAAACCAAAACCATAATGATATATTACTTAACACCCACTAGGAGGAAGGCTAAAATAAAAAACACAGTAACAACTTTTGGTGAAGATATAAAGAAACAGGAAATCCCATACATGGCTGGTGGGAGTATAAATATAAAATGGTGCAGCTTCTTCAGCAAACAGTTTGGGAGTTTGGCAAAAAGCTAAATATAGATTTACTGCATCAGTCAGCAATTCTCCCAAGAGAAATGAATGTGTATATACCCATAAAAAACTTATGTAAATATTCAAAGTAGCACAATTCACAATAGCCAAAAAGTGAAAACAACTCAAATGTCCATCAACCAAAGAATAAACAAATTCTATTCTATAGAATATTGTTTAGCAATAAAAAGAAATACAGTATTGATACATGCTACAACATTGAAATTTGACAATACGAGTCTAAGAAGCCAGTCACAGCTAGGCGTGGTGGCTCACCCATGTAATCACAGCACTTTGGAAGGCTGAGGCAGGAGGATCACCTGAGCTCAGGAGTTTGAGACTGGCCTGGCTAACATGGTGAAACCCTGTCTACTAAAAAATACAAAATTAGCTAGGCATGGTGGTGCACGCCTGTAATCCCAGCTACTCGGGAGAATCTCTTGAACCTGGAAGGCGGAGGTTGCAGTGAGTGGAGATTGCGCCACTGCACTGCAGCCTGAGTGACAGAGTGAGACTGGGTCTCCAAAAACAAAAAAGAACAAACAAACAAACAAAAAAGCCAGTCACTAAAACCCATGTATTGAATGATTCCATTACGTGATCTGTCTAGAATGGGCAAATTCATGGAGACAGAGAATAAATTAGTTGTTGTAGGACTAAGGTGGAAGAGGAGACAACCAGGGAATGGAGAAGAAATGCTTACACAGTTTCTTTTTCTGGAGGTGTTATAGATGTTTTAAACTTAAATGGTGGTGATGGCTGCATGACTCTGTGACTATACAAAAACAAATGTATTATATACTTTAAGTGAATGAATTTCATTATATGTGAAATTATCTCAATAAAGCCATAAAAAATACTAAAAGAAAAAAAGTTTTAAAAAAGTCAAAACAAAGGCACTCAAAACAAAGGCACTGGCACCAAGTATTAACAGTGTCTTGAAGAAAGCTAGCCTTAAGTCTCAAATAAAGTACTACTAGACATTATTATATGCCATTGAAAGGCTGTTCTTGCAAGTGTTAAGCTATGTATGAAGTAAATCCAAAAGGAGTTCCAATACTATTTTAATGTCAATGTTGTTAGGAAATGAGACATTTTGAAGACTGATCAGTGGCTATACATTACTCATTTGGCGATAAATTACTCATTTTTATTCATGGTTTATAATTCAGATACATTCTTTAAAAAACAAAAAGACTCTTTGCCCTGTAACCTCACGTGCATAAGTCTCAGACGTTATACTACATATGAAATAAGAAATGTGTGATTAGATAAAAAAGTTTCTTTGGGAGGCCGAGGCAGGTGGGTAACGAGGTGAGGAGATTGAGACCATCCTGGCCAACATTGTGAAACCCATCTCTGGGCATTTCACAATGTTGTGAATTAGCTGGGCGTGGTGGCACATGCCGGTAATCCCAGCTACTTGGGAGGCTGAGGCAGGATAATCGTGTTTGAACCAGGGAGTTGGAGGTTGCAGTGAGCCGAGATCATGCCACTGCACTCCAGTCTGGCAACACAGCAAGACTCTGTCTCAGAAAAAGAAAAAAAAAAAAAAAGTTCCAATATCAAAGGTACTGTATTGTACATAGACATTAATTGCTTTAACATACTGCTAAAAAAAATCTTTAAAAGTAATTCTTACTAGGACTGAATAGATTTGCAGGAATGAGGAATGGCAGCTAATGGATATGAGGTTTCTTTCTGGTGTGAAAAAAATATTCTAAAATTGATTATGGTGATGGTTAAACAACTGTAAATACAGTAAAACCACTGACTTGTATACATTAAATGGGTGAGTTATATGGCATTTGAATTATACTTCTATAAAGTTAAAAATTTTTTAAATAAATGATTGTTAGGATCCTTTAATATAAAATTTTATTTCCAACTACAAAATAGAAATATGTATAGAAATCTCATTTAAATGTCTGAGCTTATATGTGTTCCTGTGGCATATAAACACCTTCTGATGGCATCTCCCCCAAGTTGCACAGTTATATAAAAAATATTCTCATTAACTTCAATTCTAGAAACTAAAATCACACACACACATATATGTGTGTGTATGGCTTCTAGAAGTCTGAAGGTAAATAGTATAAAGAGTTGAAACATAACCACAAAACTGAAATTAGGTATTATGAACAAACAGTTTTATCTTTCCTCTAAATTTCGGATCACCCTTTTTAAAAAACTCAGCTTAAAACTTCTTTTGATTATAACCTACAAGAAACACATTTTACATAATGACCCAGCATACATATGTGCATATATGCAACTAAAGTGAAAATTTTATCAAACAATTAACCTTACTACTCATAATGTGCCCTAGTATTTTCTTTCTCATTTCATTGGGGAAAAACGTTACCGCGTGCTAAACTGATCATAGCTGGCTGTCTGAAAAACAGGTAGCAGTGGCTAGGATGTTTGAAACATCTGGTACAGGGTGACACAGAGTAGGCACACAAATATTTGTTATATACATGAAAGTGGTAGAAATGGTAATTGAAGACAAATCACGGCATGAAGGCAAAAAAACAATTCTTTTCTAGCGCTAGAACCTACATGGAATTGCTTTCTAATTAAAAATACCTGCGAGGTGGCTTGGACTAGAGAAAGCACTAGTTTTCCAGGCTTATTTGTTAGAGAACAACAGCTGTAAATAGATTAACGAAGTTCTATTACTAAAAGCCATGTTGCTTTGTTATGGCAGCCTTTGTGCTTCTGATGTGACCTGCTATTGAATATTCTTAGTTATAACAATTAGGGATATAGCAGAGATAAATGAAAACACAGATATTCTTTAAACCTCATTCTACCCAATTGTTTTACTCCTGTGTAAGGTATGCCAAACTGGTTCAATCCTGCCATTTGTTCCCTTTGCTCGCCCTCTAGTGGAAAAGCTAGTGTGCAAGAAATAAAGATTAAAAATTGGAAAGACTGGAAACAAGGAAAACAATTGGAAACAAGAGAGACAATAGGTTTCAAAAGAGAGCACAGATCTGTTGAGACCACTACATTTGAATATGTATTAATGCTCTTTTAATATATATAAATATCTAATCTTAAATATTATAAATTCTGTCAGATAAAATTATAAACAAATATATCAAAACATTTTAAAAGTAACTTACTTTTGTAGTGGGCTCTGGCTTTGAGCCATAAACAACTCCTTCCTAAAGAAGTAATTAATCTTCTAAGAAAGGAAAAATCAATAGGTATGCTCTTTGAAATCATGAATTCTGCCACAGAGGATGACATACCAAGACTGTTGCTTTCTATACAGGAATCTAGAAGCTTATTAAAAAGAATGCTATATTGCGAGACTTCCACAGTTTCTGAAATGAAAAAAATGATATAATAAAATTGATTTATCTTAGTATCTCAAACTTTCATTTTATACTCCTTTTTCTTTCTCCTCTCCTTAACCTTTTCTTACCCATTATAGGAGTCACAGTCACTAAAATACAATCATCTTATATATTCTCTTTATTTTTCTTCTCCTTTTCCGAGACAGGGTCTTGTTTTGTTGGCTAGGCTGGAGTGCAATGCCATGATCTTGGTTCACTGCAATCTTCACCTCCTGAGCTCAAGTCATCCTCTAGCCTTAGTCTCCTAAGTAAGTTGGGTCTACAGGTGCACACCACCAGGCCTGGTTAATTTTTATATTTTTTGTAGAGACAGGGTTTCACCATGTTACCCAGACTAGTTTCAAATTCCTGGGCTAAAGTGAACTGCCTGCCTTGGCCTCCCAAAATGCTGGGATTACAGCCATGAGCCACCATGCCCAACCTATCTTACATATTCTCTAAGTAAGAAACAAAAAAGCGTCTGACAAAAGCAAAACCATTAACTTCCTTTGCAATGGAGAAGATAACAAGAAGTTTGACAAAAATTTCAAAGGCTGCATTAAGACCTCTGTATTTGATCCCCACATGTGACTGTATCCATAGTGTCTTGAATAATTTCTCGATTCTGTTTGCATTATATACAGTTCAGACCTTAGCCTTATATATCCCTTGACAAAAAAAATAAATCATCCCCCAAAAATATTTACTCTCAAATTTAAAACAATCCTTTAATGGGTTTTCTATTCCTTTAGTCACTCTTAAAGAGAAGTCATCTTAGAGACTTTTTTTGTATTCCCTATATTCAGTCAGTTGGGTTTGTGAGCTAGACTGTAGTTCTTTATAGTTTTAGAATCTTTTAGTTATCCAGGCCTTACCAGGAAATTAATCTCTCTACTTTTAGTCTTTCCCTAAACACTATTGCCAGAGGAATTTCCTGAAACACCAACTTCATTATCTCACTCCCTAGACCCAAAACTCTAGTGACCCCTTTTTATTATACACAAGAGAAGAAAACTCCTTTAGGTCTTCCAAAATCTGGCACAACTATCTGTCTAATCTCCCTATTACTACTTTGTTTTATTACCAATGAATTGTATATTAAGAGTTTGCTAGATAGCAGCCATTAGGCCAGGAATACCAAGGTAAAGAAAATATTACCACCTTGATTGAGCTCACTCTGTAGAAGGAGAAACAGAGAAGAATGCTCATTACAATAAAGGAGGATAGTGGAATTAAGTGGAAAAATGAAAATTTATAAATAATATGATGAAAGTACTGAGGGGAGGCCCTGAAGTTAACATTTTCATCATCCTCTGAACCTATCACACAGCTCAATCTTGACCCAAAACTTTTGCTCATGGATAGCCAACATTCAAGAGTACTACCTACCATCACCTACATTGTTATTTTTTTGAGCTTGGCATCCCTTTCGTTTCCTCCATTTCATTCTGGTTTACCTGTGCTCCTAGTTAATGTAAACTAAGTTCTGTATTTATTCAGTGATAAGAGAAAAGGCTTGCTCGGGGCATTTAAATATATTGTTTGCTGATGACCTGACAGAAGTAGGAAAAAAGGAATGAAAAAAATGCTTGTCTTACTGCTGGCAAAAACCCAAAGATAAGCATCTCTGATTTTTTTAAAACCATCAGGAAAACATATTCAATTTGCAGAGAACACATTGTACAGAAAACTACTTCATTAAAAAATATGCTGGAATAGAAAAAAACAGGTGGACAACTATTTCTTATTAACAGTTAAACACCAGATGGGCAACAGATAATTAAGTTAGACTTTTAAAAAACATACCTTGAGAATTCTGAAAACCTGGTAGATTCTGTAAAACTTCAAATGCCTGTCTAAAAAGGCTCTTGGCTAAGATGTCATGTGCAATTGTACAGAGCAAATTATGTCGATTAAGCACATCCAGCCTATCACAAGGCCACAGAGGCGTATCGATTATCCATTCTGACTCTTACAAAAAGAAAAAAATATGAATATTTTATACCATTAAAATGACACTTAACAGTATAATCACAACTAATATTTTAAAATATCTTTTGGAGAAATAGGCAAAACTTAAATATGTGTACTCAGAGAAGATAACCATGCCTCAAATTTATTAGAAATAACTGATATAGTGATAATCATCATTGGAAGAAGATGCAAACTAATGGTCACTTTCTTATACTTATTTTTAATTAATTCTTCTTCTAAGTGTACTAGTCAATTACTAATTTTAAAGGTAATGTTTATTTTCATACAAAAAGTTCAGATTATATTTGCTTTAATATAAAATATTCATGTGGACAAGTTTAACAATTTCACAATAAATACATAATTTAGTTAGTTTTGGTGTTACTGGGGAATAGTTTTTTTTTTTTTTTTTGAGACAGAGTTTTGCTCTGTCACCCAGGCTAGAGTGCAGTGTAGTGGTGTGATCTTGGCTCACTGCAACCTCTGCCTCCCAGGTTCAAGTGATTCTCCTGTCTCAGTCTCCCAAGTAGCTAGTACTACAGGTGCATGCCATGCCCGGCTAATTTTTTGTATTTTTAGTAGAGATGGTGTTTCACCATGTTAGCTAGGATCGTCTCCATCTCCTGACCTCGTGATCCACCTGCCTTGGCCTCCCAAAGTGGTGAGATTACCAGGCGTGAGGTACCATGCCTGCCCAGCCAGGGAACAGCTTTTATTAACAATTTCTGTCTATTTTAAAAACAATTTCTATTATGAAATCATTGTTGTATATAGAAGAATATCTAATATATGTTATAAAAGCATAACAATAAAATTAACTCCTATGTACCCATCACACCCATCCTAGGACTCTCAGACCGACAGATCTCAGAGCTTCTTTTAAAAGAGAATATTACCTATAATGCTGAAGTTCCTTAATTTCTGCCCTGATTTTCACATTGAGAAAAACAATGGGAGACTGTAGTACAGAACACTGAGGTGCTAAAATGTTAGAAATGTCAATATTTTATCGTTTACTTAATTTACTCAATCATTATACACATAATTAAACATTACAATACATAACATTCAAATCACATTTTGGTGCTCTTTTTCAACTGGACTAAACATAGACGTAATCCTTTTCTTTTGTGGTCTTCCCAGCACAGTGAATATAAAAAGTATTGAAGAAAAAGTTGATAATTCAAATACATGATAACAAAAGAAAGCTTTCAGTATTAGTATAAAGCTTTAAAAGGAGCTTATTTTTCAATTACTGGAGCTCACTTGATTGACTGATTGACTTAACAGAGTTATACTATGTGTTAGGAATGTTCTAAGTGTTTTAAGAATATTAACTCACTTAGACATTTTCATTACTTTACTCCTACATTTGCTGAAATTTTAATATATGGAGAAATGTAAATGAACTTAATATCTTCAAAGACTGTATGATCATCTGTTAAACATAATTCCCATTAAAAGCAAAACTGTTAGTTCACTATTCCTTATAAAGTGAATTTTACTTTAAGTTCAATTATTTTTTATCTGTTAGACATATCCAACATAAAAAAAGTAGACTATGTAAACCTTTTCTCATAAAAATTGCATTGTTTTTCTTTAATACTTATTTCGTATATTTAAGGTAGGGTAATGGTCACATTTGTTGGCAAGTATATACGACATTTTATGAGATTCATGTGAAATTTTTTACCAAACTGTTTAGCTATATAAGAAAATCTGGCCGGGCGCAGTGGCTCAAGCCTGTAATCCCAGCACTTTGGGAGGCCGAGGCAGGTGGATCACGAGGTCAAGAGATCGAGACCATCCTTGTCAACATGGTGAAACCCCGTCTCTACTAAAAAAAAAAAAATACAAAAAAATTAACTGGGCATGGTGGTGCGTGCCTGTAATCCCAGCTACTCAGGAGGCTGAGGCAGGAGAATTGCCTGAACCCAGGAGGCGGAGGTTGCGGTGAGCCGAGATCGCGCCATTGCACT